TTTTTATCTATATATATCGAAAAATAAACAAAATGTTCCTTGCATTTTTTTAAAATTTTAAGATTATCTTTTTTTTGTTTCTTTTTTCGTTTTCTTTTGAATTTTTGTTATCTTTAGAATTAATTCAGCAGATTTCTAATTTCAAATGATGAAGAAAATTTTTGAAAAACTTTTTTTAAATAAATAAAAAATTTTACAAATCTAAGAAAGTAGCTTTATTATTTTCTTTTTGAGTGAATTTTTCTAAAAAATTTTTTTTTTTGAATTTCCCTTTTATCAACCCTGATTGAAGTTATTTAAACAAAAAAATATTTTTTAGATTGTAAGAATTTTTTTTTTTTTTTTTTTTTTAAGCATTACGCCCCGAGCAAGGCGTGAAGCCACTAGGATGCAGGGGTTTGCAGAAGATTTGGAGCAAGAGCAGATAGGAGTGATAGAAGAAAGGATGAGGAGAGGGATAGTGGATAGATCAAGGTAACTGGAGATGTCGATTGACATTACATTTGAATAGTTGGAGATTATAGCTCTCAGGGAAACAGTAATTGGGAAGGGTGTTCCACAGGCGAGAGGTGCGATGTATGAAGCTATTGGAGTAGAAGAGACGGCTACATTTAAAAGTTTCTACAGTGTAAGGGTGGGAGCGGGATGCCAGCCTCGTAGGGCGCTTGAATTCATGGAGTCTGGGAACCAGTGAAAGCAGCTCATCGGAGCAATTACCATGAAAGTATTTGTAGAAAAGACAGAGAGAGGCGACGGCGCGTCTGTGAGAGAGTGACTGTAGACGAGATGCCAGATCAGGGCCAATTATATTACATATCCGTCTCTGGATCTTGTCAAGAACTCCGAGGTAAACAGAAGGTGCACCAGACCATATATGGCAGCAATACTCCATGCAAGGGCGAATGGTTGATTTGTATATTTGAAGTATCGATTCGGGGAGAAAAATTTCCTGGCGCGGCACAGAGAGCCAACCTTTGATATGATAAACAATTTATCAATACACGTTCCATCTAAGGTAAGTCAACGTGAGACCGGGAAAAAGGTAGTAGATTCATAGTTACGACGGTCAAACATTCTAATGGGGGATTCTATTTTAACAATTCAAAGCCGTTATCTAAGCTTGGTATTCCCATCTAGATAATGACCAGCCAGGTTAAAATTTTTTACTGATTGGTAATCATACCGAAACCGATGTTTTTGAGGGATATAATAAATTTTACATTAGAGTAGAAAATTGAATTTATCTATATTTTAATAAACCAGTCGCTGGTGATGGCAACACTCATTGAATACAGGATAAATATGGCATATCTTCTCGTTAAACGAGCCGAAAAAATGATTAGGTCTTTCCACACGCCCGACGGGACCGAATGACGTCTTGACTAAGGAATATCTGCTCTTATTACGTTTATTGCTGTCATTTCGTTTCAAGCCCTACCCAAACCCACAAGAGCTCGATGAGATATTTTTAACGCCACAAGAAAGTATACCTAATTATTTCATAGAGAAAATAAAATTAAAAAGAAAAAACAATTTTTGTATTCACACAGGAAAAAAAATTCTCTACACACGCAAAAAAAAAGGCGTGAGATTTCCACAAATCAACATTATATTTTTTTTCCCCATTATTCGACTCGAGGGAAAAAAATGCCGTGAGAACAAAAAAAAACATAAAAAGAAAGACATCATTATTACAATAAAGGATAAATGAAAGCAAGTATAGGAAATACACACGTTTATATATATATTTCGTGTATGCAATGAGGGAAATAAAAAAAAGGAACAGATATATGAATTGGCATGGATAGATATGATCAGGCTTTGGTAGATCGATAGATACATACAGGTTTAGATAAATTATGAACATATATTGAGATAAATAATGAAAGGCTTTGATATATATATAAAATAAAATATATATATATATATATATATATATATATATATATAATAGATAGATAGATAGAAGAGATAGATAGATAGAAGATTTGAACAAATTTTTTAGATAGATAGATAGATAGATAGATAGATAGATAGATTTAGATAGATAGATAATGCAGGTTTAGACATAGATAATGAATAGACTGACATATGAGCAAGTTTAGATAGATAATGAATAGAAATGACATAGATGGATAGATAATGAACAGAGGGATATATATCAAATATATATATATATATATATATATATATATGTGTGTGTGTAGATAGATAGATAGATAGATAGAGATGATATAGATAGATAATAAACATTGTTTTGATATATATATAGAGAGAGAGAGAGAGAGAGAGAGAGATAATGAAGAGACTAATATATATATATATATATATATGTATATATATATATATATGTATGTATGTATGTATGTACTGTCGACCCCTCTGATTTTTCTAATTACCGTCCTATTAGTCTCCTACCCGTCTTCGGCAAAGTCTTCAAAGCCCTAATCAATACCGAAGTGGTTAATCACCTTACATCCCATGATCTGCTCTCAGACAAGCAATATGGTTTCCGCTACGGCTGATCTACCGCTGATGTGCTTACGGCCATCACTGAAACCGTCTACCAAGCCCTTCAATATAATGGTGAGGCTCGTGCCGTGGCCCTAGACATCTCCAAAGCGTTTGATAGGGTTTGGCATGCCGGCCTTCTTCGCAAGCTCCAGGGTTATGGCATTACAGGTCGATTGTTTGATTTAAAACAATCATTCCTGTCAAACCGAGAATTGAAGGTCGTTCTCAACGGATTCTCCTCCAGTTCTTATCCCACGAATGCAGGTGTGCCCCAAGGCTCCATCCTTGGCCCCACTCTATTCCTTATTTTCATCAACGATTTTCCTGGCGCCATAGATTCCCAAGTAGACATCTACGCGGACGACACTACAATTTACTCCTGCCTCAAACTTCGCTGACAAAACTAACCTGGCCGCTCGTCTTGAAATGGACCTCCAATCGGTTGTTAATTGGGGCAAGAAATGGTTGGTAAACTTTAACGCCTCAAAAACTAAACTACTCTCTATTAATCACCATAGAGGTCCTTCCCTGCCCCTCCCCCCCCCCATTAGAATGTCTGATGCTCAACTTTTTGAGAGCAACTCTCTGCGGCTGCTCGGTCTCACGTTGACTGCTGACCTGAGATGGAACAAATACATTGAGTCAATTGCTTCGGCCACCGGAAGGAATGTTGGCTCTCTGTGCCGCGCCAGGAAATTTTTCTCCCCGGAATCGA